AATAATAATAATAATAATAATAATAATAATAATAACAGTAACAATAACAATAATAATAGATAACATTTGTATTGCGCAAATGAATGCCCAACAGCAAGCTCTAAAATGCGCTTTGCAATAAAGATTTAAATTGTGTTACTGGGGATGCAAAACACCCCTATAAAAAAATAACATGTAGTTTACAAAAAAACACTCACTCTCCTAGATGTAGCCGCTTGGTCAGAACTTGGGTTTCCCCCATTCACTCCAGTTCCTCCTCCAGCAATGTAAAATCCATCACGCCCTGGAGCCCCATCACGCCCTGGAGCCCCATCACGCCCTGGAGCCCCATCACGCCCTGGAGCCCCATCACTACCATTTCCAGAATTGTCAGAAGCCTCATTTTGACTTGGAGCTGATTCTTGCTCTTGGCCTCCTACGACCTGAAAAGATAATAATAATGATAATAATAGTAATAATAATAGTGATGATGATGATGATGATGATGATGATGATGATGATGATGATGATGATGATGATGATGATGATGATGATAAATCATCTATCATCATCACCTTCGTCGTCATCATCGTCATCATCCAGTGCCAGATCTGCGGCATACAGACAAAGGAGATAGTGATTCTCCATTCATTCTTTTGCTCGGATGCTCTTTAAAAAAAGCTGTTACCCTGATCTTTCCCCGTTACCCATCTGTTAGGTTCCCAGAGAAGGTTGCTCTGGGTCTATCCCTGCCTCGTTTGCCTTCAATTTTGCCAGTGAGAGCTAGATGTTCAAGCCCTGTATGTCTATTTAGATGTCCTAAAACTGAAAGGATCAACATTTTAAAAAAATAAGATTAATAAGGAAAAGCAAATCAATAAATGAAAAAATAAAAAATCATAAATTTACAATCAATGCATAAAAATATGCATGGCTCGTACTCCTATAAATTGATATGAATATATTATATTTGTTTGTTCGTTCATTTGTTTGTTTATTTACGTATTTACGTATTTAAGTATTTACGTATTTAAGTATTTAAGTATTTACGTATTTACGTATTTAATTATTGACTTAACACCTTTAATCGTTATTTTACTGATTTTGTTGAAAATCGCAGTTCAAAGGCACAACAAAATTATGTAAATTTGCCGTTTCCAAGGACACATATTCCTTGGAAGTCGACACATTTTGCCGGCCACTTTCTTGCCTTATTTTGCCAGTGATACTAGGCGATCCCACTTCCGTCAAGAGCAAATATCTCGACTTTTTTTCAAGATAGATGGATATTTTTTTCCTTCAAAAGTAAGGCAAATTAAAGGACTTTAAGGTGATACCAATGCACCCGTATCCCCCCCCCCCCAAGCCCCCACACACCACACGTGAAAACTGATCTCTAGCCCCCCCCCCCCCCACACACGCACACACACACATACTCAATGCAACCCCCCCCACGCCCACACACACACACAAACCCAATGCATACCCCCCCCAAAAAAAAACAACAACAACCCAACAACAAACAAACGGAAAGTGACAGGCGTCTGAATCTGCCGTGTCGTGACACATTCAAGTTTTCCTCTTGTTCATTCATTCCTTACCCAGGCAGACACTGCTGAACACAGCACCAGGACGCCCAAAGACGCGACTACAAGCGACCGCATTCTGGGGACGCAAAAGAAAGGGCAGGTTTGTTATGTTTCAGTTTAAGTAAAACAAATCACATTGGCACGTTAACAGCGTGAAAAAGTGCAAGACAGACAAAATCACCAAAAAGAGAAAAAAAAATTAAGTGAGAGCTCCCAATATATTGGCCCACTTCAACTACCCGTGAGGGAGAGGTTTTGTTTGAGAAAGAGTTTCACGGCTCTTTCAGCACAATAAGGTCTCAGAAATGCTGAAGATTAGGGGTGCTCTATCTGACATTTTTGGCGGTTTAGAGTTACTAAGACCATGAGACCAGAAACCAAATGTTCTGTCTCTGTCTGCTCTATCAAAATCGTAAGGTTATTCGGAGCAGTTATATAGATACATGTATTCAAGGGATTGCATTCGAAAAAGCTTTAAATGTGAAACTCAAAATCTTTGACGTCAAATTTCTCAAAACTTGGGACTGAGCAAATAGAACTAGATCTATGCAAATCTGGGTGACGACTTGTATAAACACGCTTGACCCATGTTTGCTGGTGGAAAGAGAGGTATGTAAATCTCTTTCCTTCTTCAAACAAGCGTCGAGTTTAGGTAAAATTTAAATTCAGAGAATATAGAATAAAACCAAGGTGTAGGTACGAGCTTACACTTAGAAAGTTAGAGACGATTACAGTAATTATTGGAAGATTTTTTTTATTTTTATCACCAATGCCACCCCCCCCCCCAACCCCCCAACAAAACAACACAACAACAACAAAACAAAACAAAGCACAAAAAAAACTACAAAGTTTCAAAAACCTCAGATGATCTGATTCTGTAAAGGAATGTTAGGAAACTTTTAGAACAAAATTTTAGAACAATTGAATTCGAAAAGTACGTTCTAAATCTGAAATTACTCACTTCACTTGAAATTCTCTTGGTCTGGTGGTGTGGGTTTTTTTAGAATGTCTTTTCACTCTAAGTTAACCCGGAGTTTGATGGTAAAGCGAAGAGCGCTCCGTTCTGAACGGCTTTTTATCGGATTCGGCTTCTTTGTACTGAGTCAATTCGTGACCCAGTGACGTCACGCTGTAACCTGTCACGTGCTCTCTACTGCCGTCAGACAAGCATGTTTGTCTGTGATTGAGTCAACTTACCAAGTTCCCCTTTCTAACCTGTAACGTCAAAAACACTTTATGAAGCGGTGGCCCAGTTTATTAGGCTACTGAACCCGTAGTCGATCGTGAGATTGCGATTTCGAGGGTACGTGCGTGCCTCAGCTCGGCCCGACGTTGTGTCCTTGGGAAACTTGAACGCTCGACATTATCGGATCTACATTATGTGCATAATATTATGTGAAGCAACCTCTATTCATTTCTTTCTTCTTTCTATATATTTTTTTCTTTTTTTCTTTCTTTTTTTTCTCCTGCCTGCACAGACCGTGGGATCTGGCAGATCTGCTAGGAGAATCTTAAAATAGAATAGAGAAGAGATTCCCCTTCCTTTTTTTTGAGGGGGGGGGGAGGAGGGGAGGGAGAGGGAAGTTAGACCCTTTTATAAAAATACCAGCATTGTTACTGTTCTTGTTGTTGGTTTGAGTTGCTGTTGCTGTAAATATTGATAATATCTCCTCCTCCTCCTCCTCCTTTCCCTCCTCCTCCTCCTCCCCCTCCTCCTCCTCCTCCTCCTCCTCCTCCTCCTCCTTCTCCTCCTCCTCCTCTTCCTCTTCCTCCTTCTTCCTCCTTCTTCTTCTTCTTTTTCTTCTTCTTCTTCTTCTTCTTCTTCTTCTTCTTCTTCTTCTTCTTCTTCTTCTTCTTCTTCTTCTTCTTCTTCTTCTTCTTCTTCTTCTTCTTCTTCTTCTTCTTCTTCTAATTCTTCTAATTCTTCTAATTCTTCTAATTCTTCTAATTCTTCTTCTAATTCTTCAAATTCTTCAAATTCTTCTTTTTCAAATTCTTTTTCAAGTTCTTCTTCAAATTCTTCAAATTCTTCTTCTTCAAATTCTTCTTCTTCTGCTCCAATCGTTGATGATAGTGGTTTCGGCGGTGGTTATATCTTTGCTGCTGTTCTTTACAAAAACGTTCCTTCACATAATAGTATGCACAGCCGGAGCGAGAAGCTTCAGGGTAAAGTAAAGTGCACGTCGTCTTTGAAAGGTACTCAACCGTAACTTGGTCAAACTATGCCCTAGTTTGAAACAGAGGAAGGAGAATAATATAGACTTTTCAGAGCTCTCAACTGCATTATAAGCTCATATGAGGGCGCGGGACACATTTAACATTTTCAGTGGGTAGGAAATTCTGAATTTTGCCCGGGTGGCGGCCGAGGCCTACACTGATCGATTTTGGACCACCAAGCGAGCTTTGATTTTGCTTGTGTAGGTGTTTTACAGCTCTATCGACTCAATTTTGGTCATTTAAGTTTAACGTGCACAGCTTGCACACGGGACCTCCGAGATTTCTTGTCCTTGTCCGAGAAGGCTAGGTGTAGATCTTTCCTGCCAGAAGATCAGAGGTGTGGCTGAAAGACAGCAGTAAGAAGGAACCAAGGAGTAGCAGTAGACAGGCTGTAGAAAGAGTCAGGTGCCCAGAGGAAGACGCAAAGGAGGTGATGGGTTGAGGGCAGAGAGTGGAGACGAAAGCGGACTATAGAATAGAACATTGCAAGAGCGCCGGAAAGGAGGTGAAAGGAGAACATTCTAGAGCAGAAAATGTTCCGTCGCTATCCGCATTCGAACCCAGGAACTATTGAATGAGAGGCGACACATTAACCTCTAGACCACGAGAGCCCCTGTCTTCTCTATGAAAGGGCAAAAGTTGTACTTTTCACAAAGTACACCTCAGGGCAGGTGTGACCAAAATCTTCCAAAATTAAACATGCTCGACTATCTAAGGGACCGTTCATAATGACGTCAGCTAAAATTTGGCCCCAAAATCTCTCCCCCCCCCCCCCCCTCTTTTAGTTTTTAGTGTTCGTAAGATTTTACGGCGCTTGCAACTGCGCTAATGGGTGGATGTCAACATAGAAGTCCAAACGGGGGAATCAGTGCTCACCCCTCTAGCTTCACCAGCACAAAGTCTTCTTCGACTATCAAGGCACCCCGAAAATAGCAGTTCACAAGAGAGTGACTAACATACAAAAGAAGTAGAGGGAAAATAACGATAGTATCGATGAGGAAAGAAGAAGTAGCAGTTCCGCCTAGGTTGTTCCGGCACAGTTTGAGCATGACATTGATAAATCAACCCATTTACAATTCTACTATTCATAAGAACATGTTATAAATCCTCCTCGCCCCTTTGGGTATGGCCTAAAGACCCGTTTTCCTTATGAAAGAGCAAAAGTTGTACTTTCCATAGAGTACACCCCAGGACTGGTACGACAAATCTTCCAAAATTAAAGATGCTCGAATATCTAAGGGACCGTTCACTATGACATCGGCTAAAATTTGGCCAAAAATGACCCCCAGCCCCCATCTAGTTAACGTCAAACAAAATGTACATATTTGTATAGAACCTATTTAGTTTTCTGTTTTAGTGAGGTTTTTACGGCGTTCGCAACTGCTTAAGGTCATATGCACGTCAAGGGCTAGATGTCACCAGGGAAGTCTAAACGAGGGAATCGGGTTTATACTCTGCTCACCTCTCTAGCCTCAACAGCATTAAGTCTGCGTCGACTATCAAGGAACCCCGGAAATAGCACTTCACAAAAGAGTGACAAACATACAAAAGAAGTAGAGGAAAAAATATGACGATAAGAAGGATAAGGACAGAAACAGCAGCAGTTCCGCCTTTATTGTTCCGGCCCAGTACAAGTAGGACATTAATAAATCAACCCATTTACAATTATTCTACCGGGTATAAAAACATGTTATATATCCTCCCCGCCCCTTTTGGGTATGGCCTAAAGACCCGTTTTCCTTATGAAGGTGCAAAAGTTGTACTTTCCACGCACGACACAAGACTGGTGCGATACTAAATCTTCCAAAATTAAACATGCTCCACTATTTAAGGGATCGTTCACAAATGAAGTCAGCTAAAATTTGGCCAAAAAGGACCCCTCCCCCCTCCCACCCCCCAACTCTAGCTAACATCAACCAAAATTTACCTATTTATATAACCTGTACAGGATGCATTTTGAATTACACCTTTGATCTTTATTTAAAATCTTCCTTTCTTTGTGGTGTCGGTGGCCTAGTGGTTAGGCAACCGGACTCGTAATCGTGAGATTGCGGGTTCGGGGGTTCGAGCCTCAGCTCGGTCCGACGTTGTGTCCTTGGGAAAGGCACTTAGACGATCTTCCGAGTTGGCTCGGTCCTATCGGAGACGGACGTTAAACTAGGAGGTCTGGCCCCTTAAATAACCTAATAGTATTGATAGGGGCGTTAAACCCATACAATTTCACCATTTTCTTCCTTCCATTTCTTTTCTCCCCACCCCCAACCTTTTAGAGCATCATGGTTGACACCACCTTTGTAAGGCTACGTGTCTACAGCCTCCGCTCCTCGTCATGAAATATGTCACGACATAGTGGAATCAGGCGCTCGTAAATTTTTGGGCACGACCGGGTATTGGTATCATCATAAGGCCTGTTCATTTGCCTTTCTTTTCCCGCCTCTTAAATAACCTAATAGTGTTGATAGGGGCGATAAACCTATACCATTTCACTATTTTTTTCACACCTTTCTTTTGGTGAAAAATTTTTAAAAATCTATTTTGAACGGAAATCGAAATATTTGCGATTGAAGTAGGTCAGGGTCGCTTATTTTTAGAGGTAACATTTGGGAGAACATGGCCGCCAAAGTTTGGTAACTTCCATATCCTGAGAGTCCTTGGACACTTGAAAATTTACTTTTTTTTTGTGCGTTTAATCAATGTTATAATCATAATCATAATCATAATCATAATAATAATATGACATTTATATCGCGCAAATCCGTGCTACAATCATTCTGCCGTGACAAGGCAGACTGCGACGTATCTGCAAAAAACATTATTTTTGGCATCTTCGTTTAAATGGACGCCTATACTATACCCAT